GAATGAAGGCAATATTTATATATATTTTTTTCAACTATTTACCTTGGTTCTCCAGTGGGAACTGAATGAACACACATGGTCTGATAAATCAATGGACATTCTCCCCTACTCAGCTCTCCATCAGAGACAACATGTATTCGCATTTTAGGTAGAATGGTGTCTGGCTTAATTTGCTTTGAAAATGAATGCAACCAGAGCAGCCAAGGAAGTTCCAGATCCACCAGTAATCTAAGTATACACCTCCAGATACCAGCAAGAGGTCCAGGAGAAGCAGCGGATGGCACTCAGTGCCCTCTGTGTTGTGACCTGCCTGCAGAAAGGGGCTATCAATAGCTGCTGCAAACATCTACTGGATTTTTTTTTCCTACCCAAACCTTTTTATCTTTTTTTAAACTTTTAAACTTACAATGAAGAATTTACTGGTAGTCCAATACCACTGGTGACAAAGGTCATGAAACTACCAAGGTGAAATTGGCTGCTGTTCTTCTGTTTTTCTTACAGCTAAATGCATGTTATTTTCTCTTCTCTTGCATTCCACTTATTTGATACTTTCCTCCCCTTTCTTTTTTTATTTTTGTGCCTTTTTTAATTTATTTTTATTTTATTATTATTTTTTTTTAGTACTTCCTGTCTTTCATTGGACCTCAGGAGCAAATCCAACACAGATTGTTTGTAACTGAGTCTCATTTTAACATGGTTCACATGAAATAGCCCACATGGTCTAAAACAGAAGATGTAACCCAAATAATGTGTGATTTAGCTTGCTGTTAATAGACAGCTGAGGACAAACAAACAAAACAGGCATCTGGCCCAGTTATGGTCTGAAATCTTCTAAGTTAACAAGAAAAGTCTACTGCAGTGACTGCACTGTAAATACCATAGACATACATTAAACACGTTGCACACTCATACATCATACACTGATTAATCAGTTAGTCAAGGGCATTTACTTACCTCATTCCAAACCTTTACTAAACATGACCCAGGGGTTACAACTTAGCCACAGGAAGTAGTTGATTGCCTGAATTGAATATCACTGATTTTTTTTTTTCTTGATGTACTTCCCTGAAACACATTTTTTTTTCTTTCTAGCAAACTGCTTTTTCAAGATCAATAGCTTCAACTGGCGTAAAATTGAATTTGACTATTCTTTATCTGCACAACCCTGGAAAACCACACGTGCTATTGAAACCATCTCAGTGTCCCGAAATATCTGAACCTAATTTTAGGCATAAAAATACAAGTACTTTTATCAGTAATAAGGACTTTCAAAAAGAGAGGCTTATTAAAATTGAACTACACAGTTTAAAGAAATGGCTTGTTTTATGATTTTGCACTAGAAGGATTCAAAAGCCTTCTAAAATTTAGCTCCAATGACCTGTTTCAAGAGAGTTCTAAAGAAATATGTCCAATTACTTTGGAAATTAAAGGCCATGCCAGTACTCATCAGACAGTTTTAAATGCATGGATCTAATGAACTCCATTGAATTAAATCACAAAAACATCAGACACCTTATGCCATAACAAGCCACCTCTTGCACTTCTTATACCAAGCCTGGTCTTTAACTGGGACAAAACTAACTCAGTAAAATCTTGAGATGAAGCACAGAGAGAAAGAAAAGATTTTATAAAATTATAGACAATCTGCATTGTTCTAGTGACTATGCTTATGCAGAAGGTCTGCTGTATATGAAAGGTTGGATGTTAGAGACAACTCTGTACTGTTTTATAATGGCATCTTATCAACAGTGATAGAATTACCTCTAGATTAAAAGGAAGAAAAAACTTCTTTACTATAGAACTCCTAAATTAGATATGGACCTCCTCTGCATATCAGAACAAGAACTGAACTCCAAGGCTTATCCTTTGTGTTAAGCAAAGGTGAACAGAAGAGGTTCAAGGCACAACATATGAAAGACTGTAACAGGAATATTAGCAATTCCAATGTATTTATTCCTCTGCCATTAGTAGCAAGGTATCTTAAAAAAAAAATCATTGCTAGTTCTCTTGTTCAGCTAAATTAATCAAATAAAAAGATTTGATAAATCAAATCTTCATGCCTATCTATACTATAAATGGAAATTGTTTGATTCAACAAATTACAGCACTGCGATAACACCTACAAGCATTCCAAGTGGTCTTTAAACTTTCCTCATCTAAATATTACACGTCAGATATTGCTCCCTTTGAACATTAGCTCTTTTATTAGTCCATAGATCCAAAGTCTAAAGTCACAAGTCACTAAGACAGATTTGCTTCTCTCTCTCTCTTTTTTTTTCCTACTTCCAGTTTGAATGGTCAATAACCAAAGTCTCTGTTCAAAAATTGTCATGACTGGTTCTCCTGCCCACATTTTACCCTGGCAATAAGGGAGGTTAAATGCAGCAATTCTGGAGGGGGTAAGTGTTTAGGTAGAATAACAGAGCCAAAATATGAGAACTACTGAAAAATGAATTTAAAGCTTCAGCTCTTGGATTATATCTCAAGATTGAATTTGAAAGTCTAAAGAAGTTGATGCAGAGGCCAAGCTCTGCATGGACACAACAAACTTGGATTGAGCTTCAAAATGTCATCAGAGCCTCAGCTTTAGTAGGTGCTTCTCATTTTCATCAAGAGTTAAATACCATGAAATCTTCACTGATTGCTGCCAGCTGGATCTGAGCTCTTCCGTATCCACACTGTTTGCCCATTTTATGTTTGAGCAGCCTCCATTATATTATTAACCTTTAAAGAAAGAAAAGATCTGATAATTTGATCTGTCCACAGACTTTCATCACAGCCATACAGCTAGGCAGAACGTGTGCTAGATGGTCTCTGGAGTTAGCATGCAATACCCAGCATTTACTGCTTTTGAGATAGGAATAGCTTTACTTTGATGGAGAGAGAGCTGCAGAGACAGCTTCCTTTATTTTTCATCTATGATACTCATCAGATGGAATAAAAGTGATCAATACCAAATGGTTTTTGTGTCAGAGCTCAGAAGAACTAATCTTTTTTGGGGAAAATATCTAATCCTAAATAGACTAATGTAAAATTCTCAGCCTGCAAGTCAAGATATAAATCCAATGCTTCCAGCTCCTGCATAATGATTTGTGCCAATTCATACTTCTGCAGATTTCATTAACATCTACAGTTATCTTAAAAGTATGATGGGTCTGGCTTCAAACCCCTTGGAAGTTCTGGGGACATGCCATTGATTTTCAACAGGGAAAAGAAAAAAAAAAAAGAAAGTCAGATACTTCAATTTCATACAGCAGCAATACCAGAAAATAAAACAAGTGTGCAGCTCTCTTGGGCATCACAGAGTCCACAACACTGATAATATACAAACAGGAGCAGTCTCATTAACTCATCTAAACTGTTTAATTGAACAACCATCCCTTTTATTCAAAAGCATTAACCCAGTAAGAATGACATGAAATCCTGGCACCAAACTTTACTGCTGTCTCGGCCATTGTTTAGGCTGAAGGGTTAGAGCTTGTTTCATGTTTATCACTCGACAGCCTATTGCATATGAGTAGATTTCACAAGACCAATAAAGAAAAGGCTTCTTATATGTTACCCAGAAGAGTGATTAAACTCCAGCTTCAGGTGGTAATGACCTTTAACTCCACTCTATACAGCTTGGACTGGTTGCACAACCTCAGCAAGAATCACTTTTAATCAGCATTCAGGGATACCCCACGGTTATATGTTCACTGGCAGGCAAGTGAAACATGCCCACAAATCCCACTGTCAGTAACGAAGATGGAAGTGAGCGGGAAGACACACCCCATACAATTTCTTGTTCCCTTTTGGTGAATGCTCATCACTCAAGTGTCAAGTCTGTACAAAGGGTAAACGCTTAAATGGTTTGTGTGATATTTGAAAGAGGAGTTAATGTGACTAGTCTTACTTCACATAAGCACAAAAAGTGGATCTGATCAGAAAAAAGAAGTGAGTTTTCTATCACCTATGAAAACTAGCTAAAGAAAATCTGGATTACCACATGCTTAAAATCACACTAAATGCAGATGCTTCTGTCAAAAATTAATAATTCTGAGTATTTTATATCGTACCCTGCTCAGAGATTTCCAATTAAATTGGAATATCAGTTTTCAAGAAATTTAGAACCTGACACAATTCATATGATCCTAGCTAGTATACAGAGAGATTTTCATGTCGTTTGTCTTCTGTTTTCTCCAGAATTTAGTCTTGGGAGGAAAAAGTACCAACATTTTTGTGAACTGAAAGTTGAATGATTTATCCCAGTCTCCCGGAAAATAGCTTTTGTTAACTCTGACTAGCTTTCCCTTGAGCTCCTCCTTTTCAAAACTGGGACATAGGTGATGTTTCCACAACTGTATTGGTCTCTCTTATGTCACTGGTTGTGTGTTTTAGTTACTGAGATCACCGACTACGGCATCACTCATTCAGAAACAACAAGGAACACAGATAACATACACAGAAAGCCTACATAACAGAACATAACCCCATGGGTCTTCTGGGGCTTGTGAACCTGCTTTCTCACACTTGCTTTCAAAACAAACTGAAAAAAGGTTCACCACCCTTAACAGCTCAGCAAGACTTTTGCTCTAGAGCCCAACCTATGCGAATCAGAGATGAGACATTGACCACCCAGTCACTCAGGACTCCCAGCTCTCTCCTTAGAAGTAAACTAATCAATAGTCTTCACTCATCAGGAAGCAACTTCAGAGGTGAAAGGTATAAAACTTACACTAATTTGTTGTTCTAAAGAGGTAAAAAGCCATGTACTTTACACACCAGGGAGAAAGAGCGGAGAAGGAAATGCCATTAACATTTAACACATACAGTCAGCCTAGGTAATTTGCTTTGTCTCAAGTCTCCTTGCTACTCTTCCACTACATGTTTGAGATAACAATGTATCTGGAGCCAAATCCACAGCTGATGTCAATAGTTCTAGCTCCTCTGAGGCAGAGGCAACACCCACTTACAATTAAAAAAATAAATAAATAGTTGGGCAGGAATCTAGTGCATACCTCATAACAGCGTTAAATTGATGGCTTTGCTTCCCACATGCAACGTGCACCACAGACCAGAGACAAGAGATTTGCACAAAAAACAAACAAAGCAAACAAACTCTCTACACCAAGTGTAGAACTATCCCACTCATTCTTTCATCCTCCCCAAACTGATGCTTTCTAAAAACTTATAGGAGATTACAGATCAGAAGGTCTAGGATGATGATTACTGCTGCCACAGGTACTTCCAATTTTACTAATCTCTGCTGATATAGGCAGATTCCCCATCCCAATCAAGAATACTTAGGATCCTAAGTGGAAAGCATTAATATTGTAGAATTCAAATATTACTATATTCAAATATTATTGTAGAATTCAAATATTATTATTATTCAAATATATTCAAATATTTATCTAAAAACAGAAGTCAAATTACAGCACTAGTCAAACCCAGCCAGAATCAACAAAAGCTTCATGATTTTGACCAGTCCAAACAGTACAAAACATGCAGAAGAAACTGTCATTTTAGCTTTGTGTCTTGGATCCTGAGGAGCAAAGCTCTTCCAGAGATTACACCCACAACCTTCAAAAGTGAAGCGAAGTTGCTCCACCTCACAGCCAGGTCCCAATACATCACTGCACAGCTGAGCCCATTCTCAATCAGCACTGAGCACAGCAGCAGTTACTCCCACTCTATAGAAGGAGGGAGACAAAAGTAAATAAATCCCACTTAAAACAAGTTGGAGGAGGAGGTTTGGATGGAGTATGTTTTGTCAATTTGCAAATTGGATGGAGGAGGGTTTGTCTGTTCTTTCCAGTCCAATGAGCCTTTGCACACCTTCAAGGGCAAAGATGTATAATGGTAAGATAATCAATCCCCTACATATCCCAACTGCACTCAGAGCTCTTGCTGTAAAGAAACATGCTCCTTCATAGACCACTTCAGCTGCAAAGAAAACCTATTCCTCAGCAGCCAGACATGGCTAAGGACAGGCAAAATATGGGAATGTGTTTGTAAACTCTAAGTGCAATTAAGAGGTACCTCATCTCAGTGAAATGATGCCTATTTGGTGTTCCACGCACACTCAGAATAAATGGGAGCCCTGCTGAAAATCCTAGTGTGCAGCTTTCACAGGGCTGGGGTTCACTTTCACGGCGCGCTGCTCTCTTCTGAAGCTGTTGCGCAAGAGTTGTGTGTTTAACATTTCTAACCAGCCAAAATTGCTCTTTATATTTGATCAAGAATAATTTTTACCTTTGAACCTGTTGCAACGCAGGTTCAAGGGTTACCTGGGTGCAGTATCGCCTGTTTATTAAAGCCACACACCGATGATTCGGGGCTCAGTCCTGCCGCAGGAGCTGGGGAAGCACCAGCCCTCGAGCACCCACTTGGAGTTGTAAAGCAGAGAAGCAAGGCAGCTGTACTGGCCCCTCCACCCCGTGCGGACAGAAGGTAAGCAAATCCCTCCTGATGGAGCCAGGTTTTCCAAAGCACTAGGCTTCCTGCTCCTGCACAGGAGTACTGCAAAGGGGACAACAGCCCAAATTCGCTGTAATGTGCATGCTGGGTGCTGTTAAAGGTGATAACTGAGTAGTTGGCTGCTCAAGGAGAGGGTCTGAGCTCACAGAGGCATACAAAGAAATCACAGCCAGAGGAAGTGCCGGAGTGAGAGCAACCACCTCAACACTCCCTGTTGATATAGCCTGGCTGGAATGGGAAACCTGACTGCTGAAGCGTGGCTGAAGCCATTTTCTTATCAGCGTGCTGGTTTTGTCTGTTTAAAGATCCAGCGCACGGGGTGCTAGTGCCAGCTCCCATTCAGGTTCCTCGTGAAAACAGAACTCCAGAAAAAGTCATCGTTGGGTTCCCCAGCACCACAGGCAGGTTTTGAAATGTTGTCAGTAAAAAGGTGTTATAAACAGGATTGTTTACACTCACAAGTGTATTGGCTATGTTTAGTGCAATAGGAGCTTAATCCTTAACTAACACCACAGAAGCTGGCTGTAACAACCTTTTAGTAAATAAATAAATAAAAGCACAGTTTTCAGAGCTATAGAGATGGAGCTTTCTCCAAGCTCTTGCTTGTGCATAGGGCTGCAGCTGTAACTGAGGAAAGGACAGCAGAGAGAAAGGGTAACCAGAGACCAAGCTGCAAGTAAGCTGAAAAGATGTGTGCTCCATCATCCTGCTTGTGCTGCCTTCTCTGAGGAACCCACTTATGCTCTGAGAAGATCATTTATGTCCCTGTACGGTTTCTTTGTTTTACAAAAGCCAGAAGGATGTCCTCAAAAAAACATAGCAAGCCAATTAAGAATTATTAATTGTACAGCTTTCAGATAACAAAGAGGAATTGAAAACCCCTTCAGATAAAGTGAGCCCACACTTTCCACAGACTCACAAAACCTAGCTCCAAGTCTTGAAGTGACAACAGAGAGAACTATGCACTGAGCTAGTGCTTCTCCTTCACTTATTTACAACTGATTCTATTTGCTATAGGTAGATGGGATATTTGGGCATCTTTGGACGGCTATTGCTTGTGTTGTGCCATGACCTTTTTTTTCTTATGATAGCTCATCTTACTTCTCCTTTGGTGATAGTGACAATAGCAATCAATTTGAACTCTCTTTATACTATCTTTGCTCTGCTGATCTTAATTTACTAGTAGGTATGAAAGATGCAGTTATATATTTCATATACGTGTACAAAAAGAAACAAAGGTTAGGTTATTAATGACTCTGCTCTGCTTTATCTTTTGGCAAAGAATTACTAGCAACAAATAGATTTGTGCCTCCTTTAAAAAGCCAGGGTTTATTCAGATCATTTGAGGCACTATCAAAAATAATAAGCCTCAAAACTATCATATTATTTCTTATGTATACTGGGGAAAGAACATCAGCTCTATTTTAATTAAGAGTGTTAAGAAGTACAAATCATTAAGGAAAAGCTATCCTTCACAAGGCTTTTGTGAAGTTCTCTCACACCCTCAGCAAAAGTCAGGGCATCTGACTGAGACGTACAGCATTGCCACCCAACAACTGATCACAGACAGAGCAGATTCTCTACTTTTCCTCTTCCTCCCAAAAAAAATAACAGCCTGAGGTCAGATATCTGAAGGGAGAAATCCTCCGAGAAGAACTCCCAGAAGTTGTTAATGCAGCTGGCTGGGCTGGGAGCCTGTGTTTTCTTTTTCTTCTGTTTAAGAGGCATTGCCTTTCTCTAAGCATAATTGCACCATGATTGGCACTATTAGAGCTCAAAGTCACAACTTCACTTAAATGCCACAGGAGCAGCTCTGGGTAGGCAAAAGCAAAGGAGTTTTGTGCAGAACAAGCTATTTTTTTTTCATCTTCATACAAAGCTCATGACAAAATCAGTGATTTAACCCCCAGCTTCCCTACAGGTCTGCATTGTTAAATAATGCTGAAATTGCAGAGTAAGCTAGCTTTACTTCAAGACATAATAGCAATTAGTAGAGACTAAGTTTTAGCAAGCCAAGGTCCAGGACAGGTAGAACTCTTTATGCAAGTACAAGCTACGTAATTTCTTAGCTTTATTGTAGATTATTCTGGCTAGGTAAATTATTCTGAAGTCATACAGCACAGAAAAGCTTTCAGATGGGTAAACTGTTAAGTGGGAAAGTATTTCCAAGATCTGAGGTCAAGGCACAAAAGAAGAAATTTAAGTAAGGATACTGCCTTCCTACCCCTCAAAGCCTGCTGCAAAATTCCAGTTATATCAGGCAAGCAACATGGAGAAAAAGGGAAACAACAGTAGCCGTGAACTTTCACACGAAGGAACACAACTCTAGATAGAAAGAAAATTCCTGCTGTAGTAGGAAACTAAATTAAAGTTTGAATCATGACTCACTTTTACATTGTGCAAATAATTGTGCACATGTAAAATGACAGCACAGCAGAAAGCAGTTTAGAAGGAACAAGGCAGCTTTTAGGGGGGAAAAAAAAATCAGCAGAAACCATGATTCAGCCTACTGACAAGCATGTTAGAGCGGTAGATAAGAAATACTGTACCCCAACTATTTTGTTAGCACTAGAGGCTGCAAAGCTCTGCTCACCTTAATGTACAGCACAGCTATAGGAAGATAATCCCTGGTATTGAAAGTGCAGCTTTATACACAGAGGGAAAACAAGCAAATGGATTATAAATGGTAAATTACAAATAAAAATTCAAAAGATCTCGGAACACTTTTTATCTCCTTTTTCAGAAATGTTCAAACTTCAACCTCCTTGCTTCACCAAATAATAAAAAAGAAAAACTTCCTCTGTAGTTTTTTTTTTTCTAACCACTGAAGTTCCTCCCTTTCATAACCTCTGCTCCCGGCATGCTTTTCTGCTTGCTGATTTATTTAAACCGGGGAGAGGGAACTAGCTCTAGTTTTAACACGATTACTATCTAATTGGTTTTGGTTTGCTATTATGCTCATAAGGCTCCCTGTGTTTAAGGAAAAGAGGTTGGCTTCCTGCCTCATCTACAGCATGGTATGTGCTTTTGATTGCTGCTTCTCTTCTCTGTAGGCGCTTTTTGGACAAGTAATAAAGTTCCACTTTTGTTTTACTGCTAATGGCCCTGCTGATGGTTATTCACAGTGTACAGTTTTAGTACAAACCACGTGCATATGTAGTGCTTAGCTATGAGGTTCAAGATAACGCGGTTATCAGGAACCTGCTAGGAAAGCTCTGGTAGCATGCCATCAGATGCTAATCTTAAGCTTCGTTAAATTCAGATATATGCTTGCTCTTTGCTCTTGGTAATACGGCTGCTGTAATATGTTGTGATAAAAGACATCCATACTTAAAAGTTCTTAGTGCTGCCTTTCTTTATGTGGCTATGTAAGCTGCTAAATGAACATTTTCTAGTTTTCTGAGGGGCTCTCTATGGATTTCTAAGTTGAGCTCTAGTTTTAGCTGTTTCAGCTGTGCATGTTTATGTCTAATAATAATTTCCCATTAATGTAATGCTGACATGTGCATATCTTATGAGGTTATCGTCCTGTACTATCTAATAGAGGAAAGAAACAGTAGCAGGACTTGTTATACTATTTTTAAAATTCTTCAAAACTTCAAAGGGCTAGCTGTTCTGTTCTTCTGTGAGACCAATATACTTTCTGAATAGGTAGCTTTCAAGGAGAAAACCTGATATAAATTACCCCTGAAAGCTTGGCTTTAGCAGCCATCTGACAAAGCCTTAGCACTAAGCACTGTCATGGCGTCACTGTGCGCCTGATGGACGGGCAGTAATATAAGTGAAGTTCTTTATAAAAACGGTCTT